TCAAGTAGTTTGCAAGAAATTGAAGTCAATGAATTAGGGCGATAATTAGATGCGGAAGAGCGGCTGCCCTGTTTAAAGACTGGGAATTACCCTTCCCACCTTTTCGTCAGATGGAAGGCACCTTTGAGATAAGGACTGAATAAAGATAAGTTTTAAATACTCACTCGAAATAACACTGGTGTTTCTTTTGAATTTTAGAGTTGATGTTATCGGTTCCAGCGGACGAAGTAAGTTTTAGTTTATCAATCAATATTATAATACCGGCGGAGTTAACGTTAATAGGATGCATGCGCTCGTAAAGCTCTTCAGGGAGAGTGGGGACGGAGTCCAAGCACTCGTTAGTAAACACTGATGAAAAATATTCGTTAAACACAGAACTATCATGGTCGACGTTGCACATCCGACCATTCCTAACTCTCCCCATCTTCCTAAACGTCCGTGTGTGTCCGAACACCAGAAACCGGAATTTTAAAAGTTAAAAACGGCACGTTGCGAATATGGAACGCGCACTTTCATGCAAAGCTGACGTCAAGTGACTCAAATCGAAAAACATGCATATTTACAATATTGTTATCTCTTCTGGTGAAGGCTCAGCAACCGTTGCATCCGTTTTCGCGCACGAAACGGCGACTACCAGAGAAAGTAAGAACGCAGTGATTGCCTTTATTTTAACAATGTAAACACACTTGCAGGCGTGCGCTGATGAAGCCTCAAAATCAAAGCTTTCGTAGTGTGATTCGTGACTGTGCCGGCTACTACCCAACCTCGTTGTCACGCCACTTTCTGGAAGCATACACCAAAATTACAAGTAAACACACAAAAGCGACATCGATACAATTATCTTCTAGAATATCACCTTATTTAGTCATAACTCTTTCAATAGGCACTACAAGTTGTATTTATTTTAAGAAGAAGAAGCAAAGTTTTTTTCGTGAGAAAAAACAAAATATCAATGTTAAGTCTGGTAATGTTGTAATTTTGCCGAATCATTGCCAAATCTTTAGAAAAGTTGGACAAAAGTTGCGCCGAATTTTCGATTTGGGGGGGGGGGGGGGGGGGAGAGGGTCTGGTTTGCCCCCCCACTCAAAAACAAGTTGGTACGCCACTGCACCGGATATCCCATGAGTCATGACGCATCGCGCTCTCCGTTCGCTTCTCTTCGAGCGCTTGCTCGAGTGCACCGTTTGGAACGAAAAATATAGCCAGTCGTTCAAAATACAAACGGGTGATTATCATTTACGGTTATTATCCGTCGTGCTTGACTCGTTTTCGAACGAAATTTGAATATTTAAATTTTCGTTTCCGTGCCCCTTTAAAGGGATGCTGAACCGAAATCTGGATTCCACGAAGCACGGCGGCAAAAGCGTACAACGGGATGCTACAGGCACCAAAACATCACTCATGCTACGATATATCGAACAGATGACTGCATTTTTCAAAAACAAAAGGAGGCGCATTTGACAGATATGTTTATGTCTTGTTTCTCCGAGAAGAGTCGAGAATGAGGGGGAACGGCCTCGCGTCGTCTCCCCCTCGCCGCCTTGAGGGACAAAACGAAGAGGAGAGGAAACGAGATATTTTGACGTCACGCGCCTCGTCGGCCTGGTTCAATCTCGCCTTTTTTTCTTTTTTTTTTTTTTTTTTCATAAAATACGGTTGTCGATTCGAGATATCGCCTTACGAGTAGTGTTGTACGAATTGTAGCGTCCCACCTATAGCTCCGGCATGTTTTCTGAAATCCAAATTTCGGTTCACCGTCCCTTTAAAGGGCAACTCCGCTCAATTCCGAAAAATTTGGGCTTACATGTGATTCAAATTCACAAAGCACTACTCAACAACTCTGCGTCTTCGGATTCGCGAAATATGGAATATTATTTGTGTAATCCTAATTTAAACATCAGCTGATATCGAAACCGAAACTTCGGCTGCGTCAGGCAACGTTGGTCTTGGGTCGTCAGAGTCATGGCCACGTCACGTCGAACCACGTGGTCTTGTGACGTTCGGGGGGGGGGGGGGGGGGGGGGAGGGGCGAGGGACAGGACACGCGACGCGGGCAGGTCGCTTCGCATGGAGTGGACGGTGATGGCCCGGGGGAGAGGGGGAAGGGGAGAAGACGAAAGAGAGGGAGAGAGGAGAAACAGACCGATAAGCGCGCAGGGCAGCGCAAACTAGCGCATCCGCGTTACGGTGATCACGTGAACGCCCGGTCAGCCAACACCGGGAGGAGAAACTCATGACGTCATCGTTCAATTTCGCTCTGAGGAATAAAAAACGAACAAAACGTGAGAATGACGTAGTCATGCCTCTGATGTATGGCTCAACGTTTGCCGCTCAAGCTCCGTCGCATTGACTGCACTGACGATTGCGCCTCACCTCGCACACTAGAGTTGGCAGATTTCGGCGACTTGGCTCACTTGAAGGTTTGCTGGCCAGTTTATTAAATATATAAACGGAATTAGATCGTAATATTTGACATGGGGTCTTTCTATATGATACTTAAGAGGGCTACATAGTTTTCTAAATATCAAAAATGAAGCGGAGTTGCCCTTTAAAGAGATTCTGAACCGAAATATGTATTTCACAAGATAAGGTCGCAGAAGTGTTGAGCGGGACGCTAGAAATTCCAGAACATCACTGACAGATCGATATCTCAAACGGATGGCCGTATTTTTGGAAAAGAAGGGCGCGATCAAGTGAGGAATGTGACGTTATGATTCTCCTGGAACAGTTGAGGATGAGGGAACGCCTCGCTTCTCTCCTCCTCGCTTCGGTTCGCCTTCTCGAGGAGACGAAGCGAAGGGGAGAGGGAATGAGAATCGTGACATGAGATGCCTAGTCGGCCTTGTTTAATCGTGCACGTTTCCCCCCCAAAACGGCAATCCATTAGAGATATAACTGCATGAGTGATGTTTTGAGGTTTAGCAGAAATTTTGCTCCGCAAGAGGCGCCAGCCTGCCGATGTGCTGCTAGTTGCAGTTACTGCTGTTAAATTATTTCTCTCTGTATTTCTTCTACTCGAGTGTACCATAAATTATTTGCACGGGCGTGCTTTATTCCCGGCAAGGTACGACAGAGTAGACGATTTCACGACGGCACTGATGTGATTCTTCTGGACCAACTCTACGGACAAACTGAAGTTCCTGAATGAGGTCACCACATGGCTAATTATAAAACAGAGCGGGAAATATGGAGCATATATATATATATATATATATATATATATATATATATAAAAAGAACGAAGACACGTACGGCAGACGCGCGCTCTCTCACCACTGAACGTTTACAATGTCAAAATAAACGCCCAATTACCAGTGAGCGCTCGTCTATCGTGCGTGCCTTCTTGTCTCGGTTTCTTGTGCGCTCTGCTCTAAAATGATCAACACTTCTGCACCAGGTCCAGATGGCTTATTTCCGCTCGACATACATTAAACAAGCCTCTGGACAAAGGGGTGACGAACGGTTTGCTACTCTTGACGCGATCGAGTCACACAGATTTTCAAAACCATTTTCACCGGGTGCTTGCTCATAACGTGAAAACGGATATTCTCTGTGACGCATCGGTAAATGTGTCATAATGAACAAACTAATTTAAAAAAATCATCACCATGCAGAGGCGCTAAAACTATTAGATAGAACCCCCCCCCCCCCCCCCCGCCCCTTTTCCACTACCGAATACAGCAGTTCCGACTGCATGGTGATAATTTTTTAATTGTTTTATTTAATTTTATCTTTTTCTTTTTTTTGGGGGGGAGGGGGGGGGCGGGAGTGGTCCTTCCCTTTTTGCAGCAAGAAAGAGGCCGGTCAGAAAAGAACATTTTCTTTATATCTGAAAGATGGGCGCAAAATGTGGAACTTCAATATTACCCTCTCCACATCAATGCATGTTTTTGTTTGTGCACAGCGGTTTCTCCTCGCTCTTGCTATTTCCTGTTGAACTGAACCATCGACTGCAGACTTCCTTGCCTCGACGGTCTGCAATCGTGTCTGTGACCTAGCGCAATGCAGCTTCGTATCGAACATCATATCATATCGCGTGCGTGCGGTTTTGAACAGGGCTACTGAATGCGCTTTTGAACGGTGTCCACAAACGGTAAGGACCTTTTTTAATACACAGGGTGAGTTCTTCGTTTTTTTTTTTTTGCGTATTTTCCAATCTCATTAATTTTATATCCAATATGTGTGACTGTGAACCATGCTTGATTGTAGACATGGAAAACAGTTCAAATTTCTCGATTGAAACTTTAGTGACTGCTTGGGGCGTTTCTACAGGCGAGACAAATAATAAAGTGCTCATCCTCAGAGGATTTCAAGATTGCTTCAATCGATAGATGCTTGCATGTGATGATCCCATCCTGCTGGTCATTCCTACTTGTTTTTGCCAAGCAAAACAAATTCGATTGCACAGGGTACCGTACGTAACTTCTCTAAACTGCGACAGTCAAGCGTGAAGCGTTGCTGCTGGCAGCACTGGAAGATGACTGACGCGAACTTTGAAAAGCAACTGTTAGCTAAGCTTTATAAGGTGGGAATAAAGCATAACTCACTTTTACTTTTAGTAGGCTAAATTTTCAACGAAATAAATTAAATGTAATCAACTACTTTTTTTTTTTTTTTTTTTTTTTTTTCTTTTTTTTGTGATGCGTACAAGGGCCCTGATTTACGGCGGGACCCAGGGACCAGGGTCCAGGCCATCGCCGGTGCGGAGCTGGCCCATCGCAGCAGGTGGCGATGTCCCGGTCCTTTGGTTCTGTTTGGTCCCTCCATGTAGATTAGGGCCCCTTACTGATCCCACGCTTTGCACCGTTGCGCTGTTGCGCGTCAGTGTGGCCGGTGGGCTGGCGCAGTCCCGCGAATAAGACGCATGGAAGTAAATAAAAAGTTTATTTTTTATTACTATTGGCTTAGTTAGTACGGGCCCACTAAATTTAACTACCCGCCGAATACAAATTTATATGATATTCTGGCAAAACGAGGGTTATTCTTTTCCAAATTGGCAAATTCACTCGGTACTTCCACAACAGCCTGTCACCAGAGGGATACAGACGCCGCAAATTGACAACAGATGGAAGCGTAAAGACGGTGAGTTGTGGGTTTTTACTGTTGTTTCCACCAGCGTTTTCATTCTATGTGAACTACGTGGATACGATAGTTTCGACTCCGACAAGTAAGTGGTTGTCGCTCATTCGAGTATCGAACCGAACGAGCCGTCCAACCTGTTCATGACGGATAGGGCTCTTTCAGAGAAGTCCCACTACACTGTATGTAAAACTCGGCCCCTGTTGCCCTGTTTATTACCTCCACGGGGTTCATAAAGCTGCGAGTATTCTATAACGTGCGATTTTTCCTGCAGTAACGGTCTTTCTTGTTAATAAAGCTCTCGTTTGCACCATTATCTTCGCTAATTTAACAGTGAGGCGTTTGTGTTGTGCACTCGGCTATGCCCCCTCCTCAATTGATGCTCCCTTATATTTCTCGTAGCGCAGTTCAAGAATGCCCCCGAAGTTCAGAAGGTACCTCTCCGAGGAGGATGTCTCCGAAGCTGCCGAGCCCGAGAGGGTACGTTGACACATCGCTTGTAGAATATTGCAGAGGTGGTAAACGTTGTGTCGTTTTAACAACGTACGCCTTCGAAACATAGCGTATTCTGAATGTCCTGTCAGATTCGTTTCGATGCGTGGCTTGTGCTGACGTTAACGTATCTCTAGTGTGCAGCATTCTCGGCAGTTACCAAAGAAATGCCGAAAATTGCCCGCCAAATGTTTTGCTGAAAAACATCGAAATGGCGAACATTAGAAGGATAATTAAAAATTGATGAGGCACCAATATTTCAGGGGAAAGGTTTCAAAATAAAATCGCGGCAAACCTGCCACAAAGCAGGGAGGGGGCTGATCTTGTAGTTGTTTGTGCTGAATGGCCCTTTGATAAGGTCAGGTTAAGTAGATAGATGCATGAGCCTCGCCCATTTCTTGAAAGGCTTTCCCATTTTGGGCAGCGACATTTAGTCGTGTTAGCACTCCCAAAGTTCTTGTAGGTGAGTTCTGGTGTTCGACGTCATGACGTCGAACACCGGAAACCCCCATGCTCGAGGAATGCGCTCACACCGTCAAAGCAGTTTCCCTCCCCTTGAAGCGACTTGAGGTTGCCCAAAGCGCAAGCAGGTAGTCGCCGTCTTGGCCGCCTGCTCCGGGTGGGTCTTTCATTGTGATGGTGACTGTACAGCTGTCTCTATTAGAACGAGGTGAGATGAAACAAGCCGTTGCAGTACCTGTTCCGCTTTTTGACATTACGAAAGTGTAACGGTGAATTGGAGGCATTGACTGGTACAAAAGTGTTTCATTGCAATTTTGTTTTATAGTTAGGTTTATCTAGAGATGCCAGAAAATCAGTAAGTTATCATCTTAGCAAAATATATAAAGATTGAGAGCTGTCTAATTTGCTAGTTAAATAAATTTCGAAAGAATCCCACCAATCCCACAAAAGCATAAACATAGAAAACGTGCAACTCTGCTCATCTATCTTATTGGTTGTCTCGAATCTGAATGCATATCTTGAACTCATTGTTGTCTTGTAAGCAAGAACTAAGTATAACAGCTTTATAGTAAAGACTGGGTTGTTAAACCAATCTCGATATTTGCATTCTGTATTTGTGACAGGCATAGTCACTGACAGAATAGGACGGCAGTGAGGTCTTTTGGTCATCCCACATCCAGCATGAGCTTCCTAGCTTTGACATATATCTTCGGCGTCTTGTGAGCTTCGAGCGTCCACATACAGCGAATGTGCATCGGAAGGCAACAGTGCGTTCCAGAGACCCGGCATAGAAAAGAGCGAGGGAGCGGTGCACTCCGGACTGCGCGTGCTACATATAGCGCGCCTCTGAGCATGTGCCACCATTGTGCAGCACTGGGCAGATACCAACATTTGTGCCGCCCCTTCTGCACGCTCCGCCGGCTGGCAGATGTCGCATGCGCAGATGTCACATGCACAGTTCGGAGCGCACCGCTCCCGCGCTCTAGACAGGTTTAATGCCGAGTGTACTGGTTAATGGGACCCTGCAATCATATTTAAGCGTCTACCTTTTTTGCGGTTTCCACGTCTCTTGGGGTTCGGGCAAGCCAGCGGGCACGGAGAGAGTAACTAAATATCGGTGCATCATATTTTAACCGGACGACGCGGAAACCTCATCCACCGACAAGGGCGACCCGCGGTACCGAAAGCGCACGAAATGTGACGTCTTTGGTCCTGGGCTTACTACTGGTCAGAGCCGCTAAGAGCTTCTTTTTAGTCGAAATACAAAACACAAGTGGCACAAACCATTTAAATTATTTATAAAAGTAGTTTTTGTTTAGTATTTTAGATCAGAAAAGAAACAAATGCAGTTTATAAAGTACGGAAACAAGAAATGACCCGTTGACATACCCGCCACCAAGCGGTGGAAAAGGCGGCGCATACTAGAAAAGAGTAGCGGGATCAGGCGCCGACACAGAAAGATCCCGGATGTACGCGGCGGCGCTGCGGTCATTTACGGACTGGAGGATCCGACTGGCTCCGAGCGTTCTGAAGGCCTTCAGCGAGTAGCTTTGTCTTGTGTTTTGGCCGTTTCGCGGTATGGCAGCGCTAAGTGGCTCTCTTTCTGAACTGATCTTTACTCCGTGTTTGCTGTCGTTTGTGGCCAATGAAGTGTCATGCCGAATTAGGGTTTAATCGCGCAGCAAATGCAATGAGAGCCGCTCTGGCTGCCCGCTTGTATACAGCCTATCCAGAACACGCTTTAGTGGCACCCTCACGCGCCGTCGACACGCAATGCGGCAGCCGTGAGCGGTCGCTGAGTTCACTATATCCCTCCTCTAGTTCACGGCCTCTCAAGCAACCAAGGACGTCATGAGGGAAGTTATTTTTTGCTTGTTTTTGTAATTTTAATTTGCCAATAACTTTTAAAATGAAGCGAATTTCGAGAAAAGAAAAGTTACATTAAGTTACTACGGTCAGTGCGCTCAGGTTTGGTGCAAATTAAAAGCCAGTAAAAATGTGCTTGCAGGGTCCCTTTAAGCATGTTTAGGAAACTTGTACTTTACTTGAAGTACATTCTCTGAGTATATGTACTTGTACTATGTATAATGGTTTTTTTTTCTGGTACATTTAGGAGAATACAACTCCCGACTTGAAAGCACATTTTCCAAATTTGGTTCTGTTAAATTTGTATCACAAATTGATGCTTTGTCAATCCTGAAGAAATATTGAGACGGACATTCTACTCTCACCAGAAACGCGAGCAGACGACAGATCGCTCCTTTTGTTTGTGGGGGGGGGGGGGGGGGGTGCTTTATTGTAGCTTTTCAAACTCTTGCTAGCTCTGGTACGGTCAGCGCAAGCAAAGAGATTAAAATATTAGGAGAGGTCATTTAACCTTAATGTAACATCTGTAACTGTGGTTTGGAAAAATTTAGAAACTTTCGAGTCGTAGAAAAGGACAACAGAGGAGAACGTCTCTATGTTTTGGGACATTCTGCTCTATTGTCCTTTCCTTCAACTTGAAAGTTCCTTAATTTTTTTACACCACAGTGTCAGATGTCACATTATGATTAATTTTCACCAGCTTGCCTGCACACTCAGTTTTTTCGTTGAAGAGAGGACACTCCTCTTTGAGAGGATTGCTTGTGGAAGCTATGGGGCCGCCACATACTCTCTCCAAGTACATTTAAACCCCTTGGGGGCAACAAACCAGAGCAAGCAGCGGCAAATTCAGAAGTTGGAGGGACTTCTGATTTTGGTGCCTTTTTTCGAAATAACTTCTTTTTGGCCACTTGACTTTATTCAGTATTCGCCGCCAATTCCCAAATAAGCGGTGCACCCCCGATTACCCCCGGGGCAACGCCTACCAGTTAAAAACTCACTGTGTAGGGAATAAAAGGGCATCATGAAAGATTGTGTTATAAAGTACTTGTACTTTACTTTGAGAGCACATTCTATTTATAGTACTTTAGTTGAAGTACATTGCAACTAGTGTTCTTACTACTTTACTTGAAGTACATCGCATCTCATTTACTTTGTACCTTACTTAAAGTACTTTTTAGATGTCCTTTACCCAACACTGACTATAGTAGTAGACATTCGCAAAAGTTTGATATCTTTTTCATCATTGTAGAGAGCAGTTTCACGTAACACTTTTTCGCTCCCAATAAGCATTTTGTAGTAAGGCTGGTGAACCTTTTTTACCAGTTTCCTTGTTTCTTTGTATATGAGCAGTTAGTTGATCATTAGCATTGTTTTGGTGTTGACAAAATGCTGAAGAATGGAGAGTGGCTCTGCCGAAGCGCAATCAGGAATGTATTTGGGTCACGTAGACCCATGGTCATTCCATTTTTTTTGTCTCCTTGGAGTCGCCTCGCATTTTGGCTCTTGCCAAGCGGATTTCCCGAACATCGCCTCTTTTTAAAGGAGCTGTGCAACAATGTCAGTGCTTTGCTTAAATAATTTGGGAGCAGGTGTCTTGACCTCTCTGAAGTAAAGCGTAAAAAACCGCTTTTGCCTGCATGTCCTAGTTTTCATTTTAAAAATGGACAAAGATTGAGGTTTTCGGCACCTCTCAACTCCTTCATCATCTTCCGAGTCACGTGCGCTGGGACGTGAATGGGGGACACGCGGGGTTCCGGTGAAGCTCTCTCCCTAGAGCCATCAGTGAGCAGGGAGAACTCGCCCGCTCGCAACCACATGACCACCTGCTTGCGCAGCGCGATCAACATGGCAAAGGGAGGAAAGCCTCATCCGGGTCCGGCCATCCCCGTCCGGCTCTGCCAAATCTGCCCCCTTCCCCCTCTGGCTTCTGGCGGCTGTTTGCGGTAGCAGATAGAGCTGACAGTTCTGTTGGCCTCGGCTCCACTAAAACTCCGTATAATAAAACTTTTGTTGATGGTACCAGGTTTTTGATGCATTTATATTTATGTTGGAACGACAAGATTTAAAGAAAAATTATATTTTATTGAGCAGGTATTTGCACAACTTCCTGTCTTTTTGCGAGTCCCCCATTAACGTCATGCCGCGTGGTTCTCATGGCTGCCTCTCTCGGCTGCAGATCGGGAAATATTCTCATTTTTGTTTCGCGATTATGCGGCGGAATCGCAACATTTTGAAAGAAAGGGATGTGTTTTCTGTCCTTTGTGACAAGATAAACAATGTCAAAAGTAGAAAATTCAAATTCTTTCAACGTTAAAATGGTTGCACAGTTCCTTTGATGCCCGATGAGCAGCCAGAAAGGATGAAGTTGCCCCTCTATTTCTCCTTTTCATTCGAGAAAGGAAGAGATTCCCCCCCTTCTGCTGAAAGTAGCTTGGAGGTCTGTACGGAGAGAAGGACACTGGAAAAGGATGTTCTGCCTGGCAGAAAATACTTATGTAGGTCGGCCTTCAACTCTAAGTTAAAACCAACAATCATAGCAGACACTTCTTTTTTTCTTTCACCGCCTACTTTGGGAGACATTCGGTCATAATGCAAGGAAATCCTTATAGCAGGTTAGAAAACACTGCCTCCACACAAATAAACAGATAGGGCAAAGGCTCCTAGCATGAATTTCGGCGAGATTTTGAGCCAAAAGTGTGTTGTGTAAAAGTGCTCTATATTTGAGGTTTCTCCAATTATATTAAAAGTATAGTTACATTGACAGAAAGATCCGACTTTGTTTTTCTCAAGATGACCACCTCTGGTTAAGTGCCATGAGGCCTTTATTTGCAACCAGGTATTGAGGTGTAAAGTACAAACCTTGGCATAGGGCATACTAATCATAGGTGCCCCTCAGAATGTTGTATTTGTGCTTTTACAGCAATCACTTTTTTCTGCTATGCAATGATGACTAACAGCAACAATAGTAAGCTATACTGATGTCGTGTGAATACTCCCCTATAGAGATTGTACAGCTAGCAATGTTGAAATCATCAGCAAAATATACCAAAGGACAAGTAACATGGTGATAAGGTATAGATATAGTTTTGTCCTCAAGCAAAAGATAGAAAGAGGAAATTTCTTTATTGTTCAGCACTGTGTTCCTGGGACAAATATGTATTCTCCATGTATTGCTTTAGCATAACTTGCATTGATGTTTCCTCATTCATTGTACAGGCTTTCTCCTAATATTGCCTGCCGTTTTTTTACAAGTGTACCGGTAAACAAAGGTAACTTATTGGTAGAGTGAAACGGCATTATGTGCAATAAAGTTGCACTTTCATTTGTGTTTCCTAAAGATTTAAAAAAATTTGTTTTCTAACAGGGCATAGAGCAAATAGAGCCTTTTCTTGTTGACAGTTATGAAATGTTTTAGAATTCTTAACTTCCACAATTGAAACTAGGGCTGGGCGTCAATTAAAAGTTTTAACCCGATTAATCGCCACCTTTTAATTGATTAAATAATCAATTAATCAGTCTCGTTAATTTCTATGCATAATATTTTAAAAAGTCAGAAATTAATATTTGTTTTCTGTTTTTGCCTTTGCTGAACATGAGGTAAAGGGCCTAATACACAAGTTTTATTATGAATCAATCTTGATGTGTAGTTAAGAAGAGTTTGAAGGCACTGACACATTATTACTTCAGCTGCATGAGGTAAAAGATTTGGTTATATTATCCGGCAAGAGCGACCTCCTTTGATTGATCACACTATAGTCTCTCTCTGCTGCGCTAAACGGGCACTCAAACGCTATTGAAGTGGCCGGGTGACGTGTAACCTTCAGCACCTTGTCAGGAGTTACAAATCTTCCCCCTACAGTTTACTTTAGGCTAAATTCTGACCTAAAGTTTGCTCTTCATAGAGGTGTTCTCGTCCACGTCTGCGTGGTGAAAGCGTTTACTTTTTACTTTATTTTGGTTCGTTGAAATATTACCGATTAACCGGTTAAAAAAATTAATTGCGATTAATGCATTAATCGATTAATTGGTATGTCAATCGATCAAATGCCCAGCCCTAGTTGAAACTAGAGAGAACTAGGTCTTGGCCATCGTGAGAGGTTTTGCTCTAGAAATAAAAGCAAAAAAACTGATCCTGTTGACATATGGATAGCAAAGTGTCATGAAGGTAATCTGGCCATTGTCTTGACCAATTCAACTGTCCCTGCCAGCACTCTGACAGTGGTTAAGAATGTCATTTTGTCTCCAGTTTGGTACAATACCACATGCAAGTTCAAACCCCGCGTTCACACAGAGGGTTACGTGCACGTTGTAAGCGAGGAATCACGCATCTGGGGTGTGAAGAAAGCTGTGCTGCGATCTATGCTAGGTCGACTCGCACTGATGTAGGTAATCCAGTGACCGTTAATATGGTGAGCAGGTCAACCAAGAAACACTTTTCTCCATGCACACGAGAGCGGAGGCGTGAAAAGTAAGAGGGTATGAAGCTCCGCCCCCCACAGTATTCTCTTTAGCGGTTAGCTGCAAATTTTCAAAATTTCCCAGGTGTCTGAGTTAGTTCAGAAATTGTATTGTATTGTATGTTATTACACTTCTCTTGTACAGTGCCGCTCGGTGTGCAGGTGTTTAGGGAAAGGCATTGTGCCCGTGCATGTTTTGTGCCCCTGACACCGGCCGGCGCATAGGTTGAGACTAGGAAAAAAAAGAAGAGTAGACTGAGAATAAGATAGAGATGAAGCACACAGAAAGTCACACACAAGCACACATAGATACACTGTCACAAGCACCCACACACCATGAGGAAAGCGTGATTGCTCTGCACAGCTTTACAGCAGGACCGATTCTTGCACTGACCAACATGCAGTGCACCCTCCAAACGCTCGACTGAATCTTTTTTTTTTTTCTTTTTTCAGGAGAAATTGTTGAAAGATGATGATGACGAGGACTTCTTCCTCAAGTAAGTTCTTTAAATAGGGCCTTTAATTTCTCTCTACACTGTTTCGTACCTCATGTGCAGCCTAATTGAAAAAGCGTGCCTTGTTGGCACGCTTTGTTCCTTGTTCAGGTTTCTACATTGGTTCTCAGAATCGAGGTATGCTAATAGTACTTCGCATTAAATAGTTATACATAGTTCATAGCCTCCACACCTCTAGAGTGAACCAACCCAGATCAGGTAAGGCTAAAAAGAAAAGCTGAAATTTGTTTCTGTATCCTTCAGATCTGGCAGTACTGGCTCAACAGTGTATAGGAGCAGTTCATAACTTGTGCAGTACATTTCTAAACCCAGAGTCTCAAACATGCATCTTGCAGCGGTGATTAGATGACCATACTTGGGTGCAAAGTCTGTTTATAATGAAGGCAGGGATAAATCCACATCATCTGGACTAGAAAGTCCTGTGCACTCTAATTTTGGGGTCATCAAGCTAATGTTAAGTGCGAACAAAAATGGGACACGAGTGCTGCATCACTGTTCAGCAGATGCACAGTGTCAGGCTCTTACTCAGTTGCCAAGTTGACATCATTGTAGTGTGATGACATTTCATGAAGAAAGAGGAGGGTGGTGAAGAGGATTTATGTGGACTAGATGGCATTGATTGAACCCAGGGTTCCCCTGGGTTCTTTAATGCAACCTTTTTCTCCACATAGTTCAAGCTGTGGCATGCTAACACTTTCAGCCACAGATCCCTTCTGATAACATAGCACTATGTCTTTTGAACCACTGTTTGCATACCTGAACTGGGAACTTATCCTTCACTGGAAGGGTTGATAAGATCCTTTTTAGTATACAACTTATATACTGAGTGATGAGCAGATTGATGTACAGTCGGGGACAAAAGTCTCCAGGACACGCGAGCTGCGGCTGAAACACATTGCTCTGCCATCTGCCGGCGGGTCGCCTGGTTTCGAGATCACACAAAAGCGCATGCGCGTCCTACTCTGCCTGCAAACATGTGTGTTTTCCCGCTCTTCTGCGGCACAGCGCCTAACTCGGAATCGGGCGCGTGGTACCGCCTCGGAGATAGCGCTGGCGGCTGATGAGCGTCTGCTACACATTCCGAAACTCGAGATACCGCCTGTGGCATTGCGCCGCATTTCGCCGTGTCAGCGCACCTTGTTTTATAACCAGTTGAGTTTATCGCTCAGTTGAGCTGCCGTGGCTTCTTGCTTCATATGTGCCATGTCAGTAAGCGCTATCTCCAAGGCGGTACCACGCGCCCGATTCCGAGTTAGGCGCTGCGCAGCAGAAGAGCGGGAAAGCGCACATGTTGGCAGGCACAGTAGGACGCGCATGCGCTTTTCTGTGATCTCGAAACCTGGCGACCCACCGGCAGATGGCAGAGCAATGCGTTTCAGTCGCAGCTCGCGTGTCCTGGAGACTTTTGTCCCCGACTGTACCATGTCACACATTTTGCAGGTGCCGTTAATGATGCATTTATCGATCTAAAGTGTAAAATTGAGGCTTTATATATTTATGCAATTGTGTATTTATACATACCCTCAAGGCCTCTAGGCATTGAAGAGGGGAGTGTACACAACAACATAAAACAAAAGCTCGAGATTAAAAAGATGATTCTTTAATTTGTCTTTAATGGCGTTAATTAACATAGATTACATGAAACATTTAATTAAACAAAGCAAATAATAAAAACTTTCTGTTGGCTTTAACTAGGGATGTCGCGAACCACCCTAGGTTAGATTTCGAAAGGTTTCGATATTTGCGAAGCGAACTGAGGTTCGATTTCGAAAAATTTCGATATTTTCGTACCGACCGAGGTTCGATTTCGAAAAATTCACAACTTTTGACCACAGCGGAGTTTCAAATTCGAAAATATGGAAGCTTTCACGGTTTCTAAAATTTCGAATTCGAATATTTCGAATAATTTTTTACTTCAGGTTTGATAAATTCGAAGATTTCGAAATTCTTTGTAAAAAAAATTTGAAAACTTCGAACGCTTCGAATTTTTATAGACATGAAGTTCGAACAATTCGAAGATTTCGAATTTCTTTTTGCATAAAGTTAGAAAAGTTTGAAGGTTTCAATTCTCTTTTAACGCTAAATTAAAAAAAAAAAAAAAAAAAAAAAAAAGAATTTCTAAGATTTTGAATTTTTTTCTAATACAAATTTTCAAAGTTCGAAGTCCGATTTTCAAGTTTTTCGACAGTTTCAGTTTCAAATAACGTTTTCACGACTCACTTGTTTTCACAAAATCAAGTTTAGAAAAGTTAGGGTGTGATATCCAGATTCTGCGAAGTTGGTCAGGCAATTAAATGAGACGACGAGTGTCCCGGACGTGCTAGAATATTTGCCAGTGCAGAATTGTGACCGCCAGCCTCGGGGGGGGGGGGGGGGGGGGGGGGTCTTTAACCTGCATCACGCAGTAGTGATTGCACGAACACACTGTTTTACGAGACTCATCCAGTTCGAAACGGCCAGGGGCGAGCAGGAGGTTGAGGCTCAGAAAAACCTTGAAGCGACCTGGCAAACTAGCTCGCCACTCCTTGCGCGCTGGTAGTAATCCGATCCGGTGAAGTTTGTAATTGTCCTGGAGGTTTATTTTCTGGGACGGAGGAATCGCCTCGCAAAAAGCACAAAAGCCGACACAACTCGAGGTCGAGGAGCGTTCTACCATACAAGTGGCGTCGGAAGAGGAAAAACGGGGGGAAAGAGGGTAGCGGGGGGGGGGGGGAGGCTTCAGCCTCCTTCTCCCCCTTGCAGGTATTTCGGACTGTTAAAGAAAACAATACGGGGAAAGAGGGCGTGGTCGAGCTTATTTTAATCTGAAATTATTTATGCATATGTGTAGCTACTGTCGCTCTTTACTGCATAAAAGGTTGCGTAGATGGATATTGTTAGAAACTCGTTGTCAGAATGCTCTGCTCGTCACATGCTTAGTGGTACGGAAGTTCAAAGCTGTCCTTTCGACTTAAACACCTGTGTCAAAATTAAAAAAAAAAAAAAAAAATTCATGAATAAAAAGCAGGAGAAAAAAAAACTATCAAGAATGCGTCGGAAGTGTTCTATTCTTGCATATTCAGAGGTTCAGAACTTCAAAACAAGTTTCTTTTACCAAAATGTGTACAGGCTAAAAGAAACACGTCCCAAAAACGTGAAGCGAAAAAAAAAAAAAAGTTTTCTTTTAATGACGTGCTGAACTTGAACACTATTAGAAATCTTCTCCCATGAGTTAATTTATTCCTTAACGTGAAAAAACAATAAATATATTATTTTGTATTCTGCAGATGGCAACGATATGTACTGTCTGTGGTGTTAATTTAAATGCGATACCTCAAACAACTTAGACGAAAATAAATATAAAGTTTAGGTCATAATTGCATGCAGATACATGTTTGGACATTTCTTCGAAACTCGCGTTGAATAACAATAATCACATCTTAAGACAGCACTTACCTAGGCTCTACATAGATCATTCTTAAAAAAAGTATAACATATCTACCATAAATAGCTCTGGCTGCAGCGTGCTTCAAATCTGGCACAAACGATAATCGTCAAAAACCCGTCGTCCTTCCTTGCCCCTTCGGGGATTTATTTCTTTAAACCTAAGCATGCCAGAACATTGAAATAAACGACATTGTCTTTCGTAAGGAACGCAGCACCGCGTGTAAAAGTTCGAGAAAAAAAAAATTACGAATGTACCCCACTATTTGAAATCAAATGAAACCGTCCGCCGGTCTTTCGAAGCTCGACGAACGTCGAACTTTTACCCTAAAAGTTCGAAGTTTGTCGAACTTCTGACTTTTCAGAATTCGAAAGTTCGAAACCTTTCGAATTCTCTTGATAAATAAGTTCGAAATTCATCGAAGTTTTTGGTCAGTCAAGTTCGAAAGTTCGACAAGCATCAAACCTTGCAGCGCAATAAGTTCGAAAAAGATCGAATTTTTTAGCGTAATAAGTTCGACGGTTTGAAAAGCGTCGAACTTCTTAGCTTAACAAGTTCGAAAATTCGACCTCCGTCGAATTTTACGATATAGACAATTCGAAAAATCGAAATCTTTCGAACCTTTCAAATCGCTTGATTCGATCATCGAAACTTTGATTCGAAAAAAGTTCGCGGCATCCCTAGCTTTAACCCCTTAACTGTGGACTTCCATGACCAAAAAATATTGGCAAAATGGGTACTTTTTTGTTTCCATTTTGGGTAAGATTTGGAAACACCACGCATAACTCGTTAAACTTATCTTTTTCTTGCTGCTGTTTAGGCATTGTTTTCAAAGCAAATTTATTTCTGATGTTTGGGGATTGATAGTGCTTCCTCCCGTGTGATAAAAAGTGTGAGTGGTTAAAGACGCGCTCCCCAAGACCACTGAATAGTGGCGATGCACCTCCCAAGTTGCAGCCAAAATTGCTATGCATCTAAACACGCAATCCCCAGTTGAGGGGTTTATTAACATAAATTATATAAAAACATTAGCATAATAACAACATAATCCTTTAATTTGGCTTTAATGACTTTAATTAACATAAATACTATCAGGAATAGCAAGGATGTCTGTGCAGTTCATTTCAGTCCAGTGCACAAAAAGAAAGTGGTATCATGGGCACCATGAAGGGGCACCATTCATTTATTTGTGACATACAGAAACAAATATGGTTTATGCCGCAAATAGTGGCAAAAGCATTCCGAAGTTGATTGACTATATGTAGACCTTCGAATGTTGAACAGCAAATCACAACTTTGATTGTATTATATTTTTGCATTTGCCACCTTCACTGACTACTAATATAACAAGTCAGTCTCCATCTCGAAGCTGTCTTGCCCCATCCTAAAGCGTCCATTATGTTTCAGGGGCCCTTCTGCAAGCGGAAAGACACTCACGGTTCAAGACAAGAAACTGAGGAGGTACGACAAATTTTTGGGCCCTTTGTTTCATTCAGCTTGTTCTATTGACCCACAATTTGCTCCAGGCAACTTGATCTCTTTTGCACCAGACACAAATACTGGATCAAGACTCGAGCAGATTGTCCATGTTGTAGGTCATGTTGAAAACGCATGCCCAGACAGTGCCACAGGCAGTTTACCTTTTGCAGTCTCTCTGTGTCGTGAACATACCTTGGCAATGTGACCGGACAGTACATGCATGCAGCATCTAATATTTTTTTTTTTAAGACTCCCTCTTTTTCCACGGGCCTTGCTGATAGTGATGAGTGGGCAGAGGTATTGCTGAGTTACCCATATCTGTGACAGGAGTCTACAGTGTGACTTGTCAAGTTAAGACTACTAAGTATACTAATCTTGCCTCTGTAAAAATTTATTATAATGTAGTAGACAAAAGTAACTATTTTTGCATGCTACATCTTAGCTGCTTTCGCGCATTGACAAAGTTGGTTATGAATGCTGAAGATCTGTGAGGTTAAGAAAACGGGAATAGTTACCTTGACTTTGAGCCTTTGCTGAATAATTCATTATTCTGTTGGCCGGTGGTCTACTTTTAGATTGTAGCATCACTTTAGCTGCTGCTTTTATCTGTTCTGAACAAAACTGCATGGTAGCTTTCTGGCAATTTAACAAGTTTAGTATTATGAAAAGCAGACCGTACGTTTCTAACAATTCTGTTGAATGTCAGGCTGCAGATAAATCAATCTGGCGTCCATGTTCCCCACTATTGTCTTACGAGTTTTGCTGCAGCCTTCAAACTTTAACTAGAGGTCGTAGGATTTCTCTCGCTGCTACCCACCCTAGATGACAGGACGCACCAGTTCAACAATATGTAATCATTAATTAACTGTTGGCGGCGTGCCCCACGACCCAAAAAATCCCCTTGCACGCACCACGCCAGCCTTTCATCGGCTGCTGAACTCCGCTCTCGTGGTCAGTTCGCACCTCGCGGTGGAAACAACTGCAGACTAGGGAGCCTTCATGTGCACTCTGCTAGGGTGATGCCACCCTTTGGAATACCACTCGCCGACAAACCAGCAGCCATTTTGTTCCTCGGCGATAATCCGTGGGGCTTATAACCCTCCCGGAAACAAGCACCTTATCTCAGAAGTTCGGAGCAGCGTTGTGGAAGCAACGGAGGGAGGACTAGCATTTTCCCCCTTGGATGGGATCACCGATGGACACAAAGGCCACTTTCCGGCGCACGGGGAAACAATGAGAGGAACAAAATGGCGGTGGAAGAGGGTGTGGGAAAGGGAAACAGGCAGTTGGCATCACTCTATGCGAAGCGCACATGAAGGCACTCTACCGCAGACTATTCAACATGCGGGCAACCTGGTTCAATGCTTTGGATCAGCAGGTTGCCCACAAGTATGGTGCCTGGAGTGCGCCTCCAAATGATTTGCTTATTGCGTCCAAGGAAGTGTTCCCTCCATTTCCTCCTGGTGACGTCGTAGAAGTGTCATGCCGTTGCTGGTTGTGATCCTGGCTGTTTGCCAGAAGCGGCAGTGGATGTGGCGGATGCCCAATTTTGCTGCAGGTCGCTCTCCGGCTTGACAGTCCACGGAAGTGCCGGCAGCCAGGAGTTCGGATGCCACGACAGTGGCGACACTTGCATTTGTTCGTGCTTTTCGCCGGCATTTCTATGCCCGACCGCTAGGATTGCAACATTCGACAGCATGACACTCCGGCCTCTGTAATGTTGCCGCTTTGGGACCACTTTCGATGTGTGGACAAAAGAGGACACTAAACACACCAGTCGGAGACACGTTCCAGGCGCCATACCACGGGGTACAGGTCTGCACGAGCTGGTATTTAGAAGCCCGGCCCACTGTCTCTCGGACCCGGACCCGCCCACGGCCCGATATCTATTTCCGACAGCCAGCCCGGCCCGGCCCGACGTTAATTTTCACTGGCCCGCTGAGACCTGCTTTATTTTAGCCCAGTATGATTAGCCCTCAAATTGCGTGGTATGGCAGCTCGCTTGTCATTGCTACACATATGTTGATTCCATAATCGATAGTCAATGCTGTAAGCATCTTTTTCTTTTTTTTGGCTGCTATATTATTAGTTGGACCAATCTGCAGGCCTAGGCAGCACTTTAAAGGGCAACTCCGCTCAATTCCAAAGATTTCGGGAAAATGAGTGATTTCGAATTAAAAAGCCCTAGTAAAAGACACTACGTCGTTTGCTTCGCGGAAAATGGGATATACCGTAATATCCCGAGTCATCGCCCACCCCCCTACCGCCTGAAATTCATTAAAAAAGTGGAATGGGCCATGTCTCAAAAAAAAAAAAAAAAAAAAGTCTACAAGAAAATGGAAAAACCGATCAGGCGCAACGAGCGAGCGAGCCAGCGAGCAGACCAAAGAAGCGACCAAGAGCAATGCTGGGAAAGCGGGAAAGCCGGCGGTCGTGTTGGCAAATACTTTGGCGTCGGGCCAAGTCGGGTGCCTTGTCAATTACAAGCTCTTGCGCAACTTTCTTGTTTGTTGCGTACATACGTGCGTCGGTGCACGGCGGGCTATCAATGCACGGTTGGGACGCTCTGCAAACGTCTATGTAGGGCGTTCCAGCAAAGCTTTATTTACGCGTTGGCTTTGCCTAAAATATTGCACAACCGCGGTCGCGACGGGCGGGAAGAAGGAGCGGGTTTGCGGTGACCTTACTTCGGCGGAGACAGACTGACCTAACACTCCGCGGTTACATTAACAAACTCTTATTTTGTTATCTCCATCGTTTTCTTTTCGCACGGATACACAACCACTTCGGGGTCGCTCACGGAGGAAATGCGTAAACAAAAAGAAGTGTCTTTCCCTCCTTCGTTTTACTTTGTCACGGACGTCCTCCAACTGTAAGGTCCGCGGCCGCGTCATTCGGGTAGCATGAGTGTTCGCGGATCGCTGAGTCCGCGCTGGGGTATTTGAAGGGGTGGGCGATGACTTAGTGTTTTTTCGGAAATCGATATTGGCCCAAAAAATGGGATGGGCGATGGCTCGGGGATGGGCGATGACTCGGGATATTACGGTATATTCTTAAATCTAATTTTAAACATGAGCGGAAATCGAAACCGAAACTTCGGCTCCTTCCGGCAACATTGGCCTCGGGCCGCCAAGTACATGGCCATCACGTGGTACGAGATGTCACGTAATCCTCGGCCCATCGACGGGCGGGATGGGGGCGGGCGTGCGCAGGCGCGAGTGTCGTCTGCACCGCACTCTTCGCCACGTTTTGGTGTCTACGGCATTCGACGACGTCTGCACAACTGCGGCATAAGTCTGCAACTCTGTGCACGTGGTGTCCATAGTGTGGACGAAACTCCGAGAGGCATTAATCACAAACGGTGAGACAACGACGGTGGTTGTGACGCGGAAGACGGCGGTAACGGCGGGACCACGGCAAACGGTTAGTCTGCTCCCAAGAAGCGCGCTGCACAGGCGCCATACCACGAGGTAGAGGTCTGATTGGCGTCCTCTACCACGAGGTAGAGGACGCCAATCACGTGGACACCGCTGGGCGCCGAGAGGAAACGTTGCTGACGTCGTGCGCTACGCTCGATCGGAGAAGTAAAAACAAGCAAAAGGGGGCCATGATGATGACGTTTAGCTCAATGTTGGCTCCGCCCATGCCGTAGCCTTGACTGCGCTGTTGGTTGCGCCTGAATTCGCCCGCTCGAGTCAGCCGATTTCAGCAACTTGGTGAGTTGCAAAGTTTGCCAAACCGTTTACGAAACATTTAGACAGAACTGCGTCGTAATATTTGACGTGTGGTCTTCCTAGGCGATACTGAAGAGGACTGCATTGTTTTTTCAAAACCAAAAATGAAGCGGAGTTGCCCTTTAAGAAAAATCAGACCGGTCGTCCTTTTCTGTGACCAAACCTGTGGGGAAAGGACTGAAAAATGAAAAGCACTTCTTACAAATTGTGAATGCGAAAGCATGAATGTCGTTCTTCGCGCCGCGGTTGCTTCCGATCCTCTAGGCGCTCCTCTCGGCGCGGGCCGCAGCACCATGGAGTGTGGGGTGGCGTCCCTTGAAACTATGCCACCCACGAGCCAATGGGAGGTTCTCTATCAATTCGCTGCTACAGACTACAGGCTTCGCTCCATAAGACAGGGGAATATAGGTGCCGTTTGGCACGGCTTCAAAAGCTGATAATGCCGGTTTGTCCATGGGACAGTTAATTCGCATTAAAATGACAAGCAGCAGTAAACAAAATCACATGTCAAACTTGAAAAAGACTGGAAGTGTCACAATGGGTTTGTACAAAAGACAGACAAAGTTCTAAAGTGCCCACTCCCAATTCGTACAACTAAAAAAAAATATTGCAGTCTTTTGCTGTGGTTTGCATGAAATTGTTTAGAAAGAGCGCCCCTCAGGGGTACCTCTTCCCCCATGTTCTTTATGCACACACTCGTACATACAGAGGGTTTACGGCGGCGGTGGTGTGCATTATGTAGGCGCGTGTTGATGAGGAGAAGCTGTGGTATGATGGTGGCGCTGCTGGTGACGAAAAGGAATGCCGCCGCTAGTGCTTTGGAAGAGCATTCGCTGCACACATCGAACCGCACAAAAACATATACACGCATATACATATAGATGTTTCAGCATTTGGGTCTCCCCCACGTGGTCTCTCTCCCAACCCCCCCGAACAAGCTTTAAAAAAAATTGCGACTAAAAAAAGAAAAAAGGGTAATGGTCGGCTTGGCTCGCTTTGGCCCACCTTGTAGACTTGAATGCAAGGCCCTTACTTGGCCCGGGCCCTTCATGAAAGTAGCCATGAAGCCCGAGCCCAGGCCCGCGGGCTGGCACGTACCCAGGCAGATCTTTATCATGAGGTAGGACGTTATAGCACTGCTAGAGGTCAGCCGCTGTCTCCCATTAATAAGGAAATTGCACGTCGGCTTTGAAGAACGACAGTTTGTTTCTTCGTGCTCCATTTATGGCAAGATTGCTAAGCTGCTGT